TGTACACTCAAAAAACTTCCAAATCTCCTCAGTTTGCAATCAAAAATCTTCTAATCTGCATCAACAACAAAGCTGCACTGAAAAATTGCGGTGTTGCCGAGCAAATCGGGGGATTTCAGGATTTTTTCCAGGCCACAGTTGTCTTACATCTTCAAGAATCTTTATTCAGCGTCTTCAAGAATCAGCCATCTACATCTTCCAGGATCTTCATTTTCCGTTTTCAAGGGTCTTCATTCTGCAGTTTTACGGTTCTTCACTCTACATCTTCAAGTGTTCCTCTTTGTGTTCAGCTAGTGAGTGCAACTCCGGTTGCAGGCGCTGCTAGTAAGGAAGAAGCAGAGGATAATCGGACGTGGGCGCACAAAACCAGTCATTTCACTCACTCAGGCCAGACGAAGAAGATTAAGAATGGTCAGGCATATGGGAGACACGCGTGTGGGTGACAATCGAGAAAGCGCAACCAGGAACCGGATAAGGAAAAAACGCACGACCGTGAAAACGGGTAGAAGAGAATCGGTCGAATGGGTTGAAACCAGTAGAATTCGGCCAGAAAACACCGTAACCTATCGGGTTTCCGGGAAAAAAGTTGCGACTTTTTGAATTATTGGCAGCGTGGCAAGTGACCGAATAAGTCGCGTAATTGCGTGAAATTCTCGTCGATTTGTTTGCCAAAAAATTCCGTTTCGTTTGGCGCACAAACACGACCATTGTATGGAGCATTTTTACATACAATGGCGAAACTGCACCGGTCATAAATCTGGCCGGACAGCAGGATACATCCGAAGTTGTACTGTTTAGCGGTATTCGGCACTCGAGACCCAGTTTTTCGCATCGGTTTGCCTAAATATTCAAGATTGTGCAGTCAATTCCGTTGCTTTTCCGGTGCGTTTTATTGTGAAGGAGAACTCGGCTGGGTTTTCTGGCTCTTCAATGATTTATCGGCTTCGGAAACTGGGCTGAAGGGCGGCGACTGAGTGAATTTCAATGAGGCTGTTTTCTTTTGGCTCTCGCTTTTGAACCATCGAAGGAATCAAAAAGTGGTTTAGCAGTAAAAGAAGGAGAATCTCAAGGCCTTTGAAGCCCTTTTTGAGTTTCTGCAATCGTACCTTCAGTGACTGAGTTGTGGGCCTTAGAAACTGGACTGAAGCGCACT